GTCATAATTCACAAAATGGTGCATTTGCTTGACAAAACGCTCAACCTCCCTCAAAATTGTAACCTAAATATCCCTTTAGTGGATGCGAGCAAAATCATCACCGATCAAAACGATGTTTTTGACGCCGAAGTGTTTCTCGATATGTGCTGTCATTTTGTTACTTCCTGTTTTGAAAAGTCACGTGAAGCTATTTTGTTCCATCACGTGATCTGTGAGCCACTCATCCTCGTTTGTTGCCCTTTCGCGTCAATTTCACGAGGAAGGGAACAAACGTCGGGATTGTTTCTGGTGATTCTGTTCCGTTTGGGCTCCGTCTCACGTTCGACACTCCGCAGTTGAACGAACGTCGGCCGACACATTTATCGCCACAATACGACTCGGAAGAAGGAGAATGTTGCAGGCAGCAAATCAAAACCTCTTGTTCTCTTACCAACATGATGACGCCCCAAATGCTGATGACCATACCGCACGCGGCCATTTTGGGCCCGCAGAAGAGCAACGACGGCATTCTTCGCGCTCAGCAGTCACACGCCGCCACCACCACCCCGACGACGAGTGTTCCTTTTTTTTTTTTTTTTTTTTTTAACTGAAGCCCCCGCCGCAAGAGGAAGCACGACTGCCGGGCCCTGACAAACCGACGCGGACTTCGTGTCAGCTGATCTCCGCGACCTCGGCCAAAATCGGCAAAGCTCGGCCAGCACCGACTTCTTCCTCTTCCTTGTTGGTGGCGCATTACCGCCACCTACTGGTCGGAAGCGTGGATCAGTCAAAGAGCATCCTGCTGGCCGACTCGTTGGTTCTCATTCGGTTCATTCCGTCCCTCGTCTTTATAAAGATTTAGACTAGAAATGAAGGGTTTTAGTCCTCATTCCTTGAGTCCAGGCGCCCAATGGGCAAGGCAGTCCTAATTCCGATCTCATAAATGTTCTGCGTGCCCTGCGATTGGGTGGCAACCAGTTCAGGGTGAAGCCCACCTCGTCCTCTACCCAAAGTCATTTGGCGTGGGCTACAGCACGCCCGCGACCCCCTTGAGGAAAAGCAGTGTTCAGGTCATGAGGGAAGGAAATTGGAGGATTTTGGAAGTCAGCTTCGACCAAGTGACTTTTTTTCTTCTTTTTGAAAATGATTTTCGAACACGCAGGAATCGCGTTTGTGTTCGCTGTAGCATTCAATGACTTCATAAATGCAACACGCTCGTTTAATATAATCAACCGCCGCTATTTGTGTATAATAATATGAAATACTTTGTTGTTGTTGCTTTTATTATTGTGATGATTAAATCAACATTGAATCAGTATTAATTGGGTCACCGGAGTGGGGTCACAGTACTACTGAGGACGACGATCGATAGGGGGCGACAACACTCTTCTATTCTCTGCTTACACGTTCATGTTCAGAACGTGCAGAACCTCAACATCCACGGTCCGAACCGCTTATACTCGCATACATATCGTACGCACTTCATCCTATCTGATTAAAAACGGGACATATTAAATATATGAATCCTCCTTTTTGACACGCTAGTCCAAGTCCAGCACTCACTTGTATTTCTACTGACGTACACGTCAAGCATATGGTGCATTTGCTTGACAAAACGCTCAATCTCCCTCAAAATTGTAACCTAAATATCCCTTTAGTGGATGCGAGCAAAATCATCACCGATCAAAATGATGTTTTTGACGCCGAAGCGTTTATCGATTTGTGCTGTCCTTTTGTAACTTCCTGTTCTGAAAAGTCACGTGAAGCTATTTTGTTCCATCACGTGATCTGTGAGCCACTCATCCTCGTTTGTTGCCCTTTCGCGACAATTTCACGAGGAAGGGAACAAACGTCGCGATTGTTTCTGGTGATTCTGTTCCGCTTGGGCTCCGTCTCAAGTTCGACACTCCGCAGTTGAACGAACGTCGGCCGTCACATTTATCGCCACATTATGACTCGGAAGAAGGAGAATGTTGCAGGCAGCAAATCAAAACATCTTGTTTTCTTACCAACATGATGACTCCCCAAATGCTGATGACCATACCGCACGCGGCCATTTTGGGCCCGCAGAAGAGCAACGACGGCATTCTTCGCGCTCAGCAGTCACACGCCGCCACCACCACCCCGACGACGAGTGTTCCTTTTTTTTTTTTAATGTGGCTCTTTAACGAGAACTGAACCCCCCGCCGCAAGAGGAAGCACGACTACCGGGCCCTGACAAACCGACGCGGGCTTCGTGTCAGCTGATCTCCGCGACCTCGGCCAAAATCGGCAAAGCTCGGCCAGCACCGACTTCTTCCTCTTCCTTGTTGGTGGCGCATTACCGCCACCTACCGGTCGGAAGCGTGGATCAGTTAAAGAGCGTCCTGCTGGCCGACTCGTTGGTTCTCATTCGGTTCTTTCCTTCCCTCGTCTTTATAAAGATTTTGACTAGAAATTAAGGGTTTTAGTACTCATTCCTTGAGTCCAGGCGCCCAATGGGCAAGGCAGTCCTAATTCCGATCTCATAAATGTTCTGCGTGCCCTGCGATTGGGTGGCAACCAGTTCAGGGTGAAGCCCACCTCGTCCTCTACCCAAAGTCATTTGGCGTGGGCTACAGCACGCCCGCGACCCCCTTGAGGAAAAGCAGTGTTCAGGTCATGAGGGAAGGAAATTGGAGGATTTTGGAAGTCAGCTTCGACCAAGTGACTTTTTTTCTTCTTTTTGAAAATGATTTTCGAACACGCAGGAATCGCGTTTGTGTTCGCTGTAGCATTCAATGACTTCATAAATGCAACACGCTCGTTTAATATAATCAACCGCCGCTATTTGTGTATAATAATATGAAATACTTTGTTGTTGTTGCTTTTATTATTGTGATGATTAAATCAACATTGAATCAGTATTAATTGGGTCACCGGAGTGGGGTCACAGTACTACTGAGGACGACGATCGATAGGGGGCGACAACACTCTTCTATTCTCTGCTTACTCGTTCATGTTCAGAACGTGCAGAACCTCAACATCCACGGTCCGAACCGCTTATACTCGCATACATATCGTACGCACTTCATCCTATCTGATTAAAAACGGGACATATTAAATATATGAATCCTCCTTTCGGTCGGAAGCGTGGATCAGTTAAAGAGCGTCCTGCTGGCCGACTCGTTGGTTCTCATTCGGTTCTTTCCTTCCCTCGTCTTTATAAAGATTTTGACTAGAAATTAAGGGTTTTAGTACTCATTCCTTGAGTCCAGGCGCCCAATGGGCAAGGCAGTCCTAATTCCGATCTCATAAATGTTCTGCGTGCCCTGCGATTGGGTGGCAACCAGTTCAGGGTGAAGCCCACCTCGTCCTCTACCCAAAGTCATTTGGCGTGGGCTACAGCACGCCCGCGACCCCCTTGAGGAAAAGCAGTGTTCAGGTCATGAGGGAAGGAAATTGGAGGATTTTGGAAGTCAGCTTCGACCAAGTGACTTTTTTTCTTCTTTTTGAAAATGATTTTCGAACACGCAGGAATCGCGTTTGTGTTCGCTGTAGCATTCAATGACTTCATAAATGCAACACGCTCGTTTAATATAATCAACCGCCGCTATTTGTGTATAATAATATGAAATACTTTGTTGTTGTTGCTTTTATTATTGTGATGATTAAATCAACATTGAATCAGTATTAATTGGGTCACCGGAGTGGGGTCACAGTACTACTGAGGACGACGATCGATAGGGGGCGACAACACTCTTCTATTCTCTGCTTACACGTTCATGTTCAGAACGTGCAGAACCTCAACATCCACGGTCCGAACCGCTTATACTCGCATACATATCGTACGCACTTCATCCTATCTGATTAAAAACGGGACATATTAAATATATGAATCCTCCTTTTTGACACGCTAGTCCAAGTCCAGCACTCACTTGTATTTCTACTGACGTACACGTCAAGCATATCGCTGACCGACATCTTCTACTTTTAGACTTACATACGTGCTCGATACAATTGACTCTTCCTGCTTACACCCAAATGACATGATGCTGACTTCCTGCTGAGGTGACCTCTGAACCCTCATGCGGGAACTCACACCCCCTCCCCCGCCCCCTCCACAGCCAATATGAGCTTCATCATCGCCATAAAATTGTGACTGTTTATTGTGTGTGTGCGTTGGGCTCTAATGATTAACTTTTACAAGCGCGTGGGAGTGGCCGCGGAGCGGAGGACGTTTTGTTTGTGCTCACTGTCTTTTTCTCATTAAATTCATGCTTCGTTTTCTTTTTTGGGGAAGGGGGGGGGCACTTTGGGCGGCTCGGTAACCACGGTAACAAAGATGCCAGCATGTCACGTGCACGTAGCCTCACTTTCAGAGCCTAACTTAAGAAAAAAAAGAGAGACTTACCTGGATCTGTGGTTGTGATTAATAATGATCATATTCCTAACGACTTTGTGGTAAATGTGTCATAAACATGATTTCATAAGTGTGTGTATGAATATGTCCTGAATGTGAGGGTGTATGTCAGAAATGCATATAAATATTTGCATGATATGTTTAAATGGCTTATTAATATTGAATATTGATATTATTATATATTTCGGAAATATGGTAGAATATTTCGTTTTTGTATCAAGAGGTAAAAATGCATACACGTTCTAAATGGACTGTATCTAATTACGTACACAATGATGGAAATGTGGATGAAGATATCACGAATGTATTTGAAGACAAAATAAATGGGTATGACTGTGTGTCAAATGTCGGGACAAATGCATCCGAAATGTGCACCTGTTGTCCTGGAAATGTGTAGAAAGATATCTTCAAGTATTTGGACGGTGATGACCAAGTCCCAAGTATTTCTTTCTTCAACTCTATGTCATGAAGTGCACGTCAAGAGAACATGGTTATTATTCTTGAATGACGATTTCCTTCTCTTTGTGTTTGTCGTGACAGGCTCCACAGCAGCGGCGACCAATCGCATTTGCCTCTCGCTGGCGCCCAATATGAGTTGCCGTCTGTCACCGGGGCGGATGACGAGTCAATCAGGGGCGAGATATCACCGGGGCAAAGGTCTCTCACGCACGCACACACGCACACACACGCGCACACGCACACACACACACACACACAGCCGCCATCTTTGATCGACAAAACGACCAATTAGGCGTCAAGGCCACGAGGACAGGAGCCAGGCGGCCATTTTGTCTCAATGGTCTTGAAATCTGCTGTGTCTGTGTGCATACTTGTGTGAGTGTGTGTGAGCATATATGGGCCTCAGCGTATGTGTCTTCTTGAGAATATTTGCATGTGTGTGTGTGTGTGTGTGTGCACGTACATACGTGTGTGCATGGACGTGTCAACATATGTATGCGTGCGTGAGAGACAGAGAGCAAAGGTCAGGCAAGTAAACATCGGTATGTCTCTGGAGTGAAAAAAAAAAAGTTTATTGTCCTCATCCTCGATCCAACTTTATGGTGGGCAGGTAAAGCTCCGCCCAATTTGTCAGCAGGTTAGCCGGTGCAAGGACAACATCCTATCCAAACGCCACCCACCGCAAGCCTCGATTCAACCTTCATGCTGCCACTATTGTCAGATTTCAAACACACTAACAAGGCTGCAAATCATACGCATGCATAAACACACACACACACACACACGCGCGCACGCGCGACCATACGAACCTGACTTGAAACTAAATATCTCTGTTACTACACACACACACACACACACACCAGTGATAGTGAGGTTTAATGATATGAGAGGCAAAATAGAGCAAAGGACAAAGGTCTTACGCACACGCTCACACATGCACGTACACACAAATACACACACATGCACGTACACAGAGTAATGCAGTGTCTGTTGAGGTGTGGCATCCAAAGGGCAAACACAATGAAGGATCCTGCTATCAGTGTGCATGTGTGTGTGCGTGTGTGTGTGTGTGTGTGTGTGTGTGTGTGTGTGTGTGTGTGTGTGGAGTAATGCAGTGTCTGTTGAGGTGTGGCATCCAAAGGGCAAACACAATGAAGGATGCTGCTATCAGTGTGTGTGTGTGTGTGTGTGCGTGTGTGTGTGTGTGCGTGTGTGTGCGTGCGTATGACATGAAATAACTTTCCGTGAATGGAAAAACAAAGAGAAGAAAAAACAGTCTTTGTTAGTTTTACTTTTGATAGATACGAGCTGAAGAAAATCAAAATGTCTGTCGTCACTTTGAATAACGGCGACCTTTCACGGGGTCGGCGCCAACCAAGGGACGAATCAGGAAAGGTCGATGATGAAATGAAAACACAGGCTAACTTGCTGCATGGGAGCGAGGCCTTTTGAATAATATACAAGTGCTTCCAAAACATCCAAATGCTAATACCGCTAACAGCGAGCCTCTCGGTTAATATATTAGCATGCTAATATATTTACTTGACCGCATAGTGCTGTCATTGTTGCAAAGTTTCACAGCATCAGCCAATTTTGCCACCCTCTTGTCCCATTAGCATACAGCTTCAGCACACGAATGTCTCAACTCATTAAAGTTCATCAACCTCGAAGTCCCACACTTGTATTGCATGCTAACAGAGCTAACTGATAGTCGAATTACATGGGAAATGTACATGCGAATGTGGCTAAATGCTAGCTGAAAAGTATCAGCATGATAATGTCGCTTCCTGCTAGTCTTACATCAGAATGTCATCATCAGCCTGCTAATGCGGCTAAATACGAGCCCTGTTGTATGATGCCGTCACTATGCTTATGTACGTAACCTTGCATATTGAGTCTTGTGGTTGAGTGGTATTTGCGTGCTAATGTTGCTAACCGCTTGTCCCACTGTTAAAAATACATGCTAACGAAGCGTCGCACGGCATCGGCATGCTAATCCTTCAACTCGCCGAAGTTGAGTTCAGATGTCATCAACTTCCCGTCCCACAGTCACATAGCATCAATGCGCTAATGTAGCTACATGCTCGTCCAGCATCAGGATGTCATTAGCGCGGTGACGTAGCTAAATGCTTGCCCCACCGCTAATTAACATCAGCATGCTAACTATTGTTTTTGTTTCAGGGGTCCCGTCGTCGAAATTCCTTCGTGGTCATCGCTCGTGCGCGTCATCGCCACGGTGACGTTGCTATGGTGGGGGGTGAGGGGTGGGGGCAGGGAGCCGACGGGGGAGATTCGGAAGGAGAAGCGCGGGAAGCGGGTTTAAAACTCTTCTTTGATGCTGATGGGCAGCGAGGACGGCGACACCAGGCCGGACGGCGACACCAGGCCGCTGCTGCTGCTGGTCACCATGGCGACGCTGCCGGACGACGAGGCGGGCTGCTGCTGCTGTTGCTTCTTCTTGCTGATCTTGCGTTCTTTGGCACGCCGGTTCTGGAACCAGATCTTCACCTGGAGGCCACCGATACAAACGGGTAATTCAAAACACCTGCTCCCCAAACACGGCCGAGAGCTCGTTCACGCTCACGCGTCACGTGACGGCGGGGAGGCCAAATGACGAATGTGGGCCTTTTGGCTTTTGCTGCCGGCGGTTTTGACGCGTTTGGCCTCACCTGTCGCTCCGAAAGGCTGAGGGCGCCGGCCAGCTCCGCCTTCCTGCGGATCGTGATGTACTTGCTGTAGTGGAACTCCTTCTCCAGTTCCAGACGCTGGTGGTCCGTGTAGACCACCCGGTACTTGTCCTTTGTCCGCGTCTTCCCGTCTGCATGCGCAGACTTCCGGTTAGCGTTTGGCACGCGGGAGATTCACGCCCGCCCGGCTATTACCCGTTTAGTACTCAGGGACTCATTCCTCGTGGACGTTGTCTCATCATTTTGAGATGTCAACCGGCTTTCCAATTCAGCAATTCACCGGCAGTCTTCAATCGTGAAGCCGCTTGCCTCTTAGCTTTTAGTGTTGAGCACCCGGGAAGTCGGTCCTGTCAACCTCCTCTTAGCTATTCGCGCGAGCACTTATAGGAAGTCAACCCGCGTCCATTTCCTGCTGAGCGATGATGGAATCAAGTGTGCAACCTTCAGCAGCGAGCACTGCGGAATTCCCGCCTGTCAATTTGGCAATGAAATCGACTTGCTGTTAGCTCTCAGACGAGCCGGCGCGCCGTCCATCTGCTAACAACGCGGTAACGCGTCGTTAGCGCGCCGTGATTGACAATTAACTCTAAACACACACACAGCGACTCTCGCCAGCTCAAAATCGACAGATGTCTTGTTAAAAAGTCACATGAAAACAAACACAATCAACGACTCGCCCGCCTTCACGTGCCCCCTTTGTAGACCACAGCTAGCACGCGCGCGCGCGCGCACATACAGGACACGCATCATGAAAAACAAAACATTAGCTTCGGTCAAGGATAAAAACGAAAACTTCTTCGACTTCTTATTTCTATCGCCATTCGGATATTGTTGATTAGCCCATTTCATTACAAATTTTTCCCAGACATTGAAAAGTTAAAATCAGGTGTCATTGGGAGCCCTTTTAAGTAATCGGTAATAAAAAAATTTAGAGCCCTGTAAATGAAACCATTGTGACCGCTGCGATTAAACGGGTGAAGCTGATGATGGTGACGGCTCGCCGTCTGGTTGCGTAACTCATCGCGCGCAAGAATAACCGTTATCGTCGTGAACAATGAAGGTTTTCTTTGTTTTTTTCCAAAGAGATGCTTCATCCTTTCTTCGTGATGACAATCATCTTCATTCCAAAAAGATTCCATCGATATGAACAGGAATGGTGATAATGCGGCTGGACAATCGAGAATTTTCATCGACTTTTTCAAAATAATTGATTTCTTTATTACCTTTGACCTGTCAAAGCTTGCGCAATGTGGATTGAACCACGCGTTGTCACGTATCGCTTTGACATTGTGGGGAAACAAAAATCCCCCTGTTGTTGAACCGACCTCTTCATTGATAAATAGGACTAAATATCTGACTATTTTTCAGAGCATGTTATTGTTAACATATGATGATGATGAAAGACTGAAAAAAAGCAAGGGCCGAATTTAAAAACTCATCGAGAAAAGTTGACGTGCATCTCTTGTAAAAAAATTTTACAAGAGATGCAATCAGCAACATAGCGTCATTTCGGACGCTATGTTGCCGATTCGAGAGGAAGGGACGCAGATCTCAACTGAATAATCATCGTTATCGTAACATTTCAGACAAAAATGACAATGTCGACTGATTTTTGTCATGGCTCTCATTTTTATGCTCATTAGGCTGACTAGAGTTCGGATTGTTCTGACGTGTTGGACGGAGCACTTTCAATACGAGTGATATTTATCAAATAAGTCAATATAATAGCAAATGGCATTCGGACGCCAACTATCCTGCCACGAACAATAATGACGATGGTGCATTTGTGGGGCTCTTCCTTACTGGGGTTGGCGAGCGGCGTGGACGCGCGTCGAATCCACTCATAGGCGCTCCTCCTCTGCGGCGACTCGGCCGAGCCTTGCCCGGCGGGTGCATTGAGGGAGGCGGTCAGAAGCGGTGGCGGCGGCAGCGGGGGCGGCGGCGGCTGCCCGGTGAATTCCGAAGGACCGAAGCCCAGGTTGGGGCCCCC